GGTGATGGTTCTCAGGTGTAACAGCGGCAGGCTATGCCCTCAACTCCCCTCCTCATGTCCCTCTGGGTAGAGGCAGACTCTCCTCCTACACTTGGGCCTCCAGTTTCCCCAAGGGCGGCTGTGTGGTGGCTTTCTGGCCCAGGAAGGGAAGGGGACAGAAACCCCTATGGGGCAGGGGTCTTCCCTAGGCTGCCTCTGCCCTGCACACACGTACAAGGCTTCTAGGATGCTTCTCAGGAGACCTCAGACTCAGCATTGTGCCTGTCTCAGGAGCATCACAATGATCTGCTCTGGTTTGACACAGGACAGCATTTACAGTGGGCTCAAGTTGGAGGGAAGGAACACATCGGTGCGGTAGAGTTCAGATTGAAAGGCACCTGCCAAACTCCTGTTTCTCTGGTCTCGTCTCTGCTCAGACGGCCCTGGCCTGGTCTTCTCGGGCCCCGGGCAGGGTCACTCACCTAGTGTGTGAATGACGGCTCCTGTTATTTACTTCTTAGCCGTTAAGTTATCATATTCCGATTCAAGATGGGAGTTCTGTTTCCAGTCTTATTTCCCCATTTTAGAATGCTCTAAAAGAATTTTTGGAAAGGGACACCTGGCCACAAATTCAGGGCTCTTTGGCTGGAAGTAACACGATGGCTGTCATTGCTAGTACTGAGGACAGGAGGAAAATGACCTCTTCTGTCCCCACCTTTACAGTTCTTTGCCAAGGACTCTCGGGTGCATAATCAAGGAAGATTTACTTGGTCTTGGAAAGGAGGTAAGAAAATGTGTACCCAGTCACTGGATGGTTCAGCTCTAAGAATTTATAGCAGATTGTAGCTGTGTGATTTGAGCTCCATGTACATTGATTTTTGAATCTCCATGGTTTTCTAATTGGAATAAGTGATTAATAACTTAATAGTCTAATTATAAAGTCTTGTAAATCTCGAGGACAGACAGCTCAGTGAAGCTAATGGGGCAAGTTCGTTACTGTGGTCCACAGGGAAATTTCAACCACAATCAAGCATTAGGGGAAGCCTGATGGTTAGAGTCATGGGGGGCAAAGTCCAGACACACACACTTCTACTGTTCAGCCATGCACATGGTTAGGTATCTAAAGGTTAGTATGAAAGTCCATTAATAAGAAGCTAGAAGATTAAAGAACAATTAAAGAAAATCCTTGCTCATTATGCAGAGAAACCTCACACAGCTCCAGAATTCCGGGAGCAGTGACCTTTGTCCCACAGCTCTCAGCAGGGGCACAGTGTCATCACCCTTCCTGCACATACGAAGGAAATAAATACACAGCGACCCAGAGTCCACAAGCCACCCTGAGCGCGAAGAGGCTGGGAGCACGGATCTCATTAATGGGACCTCCTCGAGACACAAGGCCAGTGGCCAGCAAGGGCTCGTCCTCGAGGCTCACACCCCAAGCTGCCTCTTAGGGCTGCACTGTGCTTACCCACCCGGAAGACACGAAATTAGGCTTTCTACAGCTGAAGAATTTTAAGGAGGTCCAAACTTCATAAGTGTCCTAAATGGAACCCACAGCGTCACCAATACCACTCTGCCTTCTTGCCGCTGCTGAGATAGCCCAGAAACCAGAGCAGTCATCTCTGCATGCTACATGGGTGCACAGTGGCTCCTCTACCCATGGGGAATGTGTTCCAAGACCGTCAGGGGTGCCCAAAAGCACAGGCAGCAAACCCCAGGAAGACTTTCATTCTCACACACAGACCACAGTAGTCTCGGTGCCTGAGGGCTTCCTTTCCTTAGTGAGAATTTCCCTGTTCAGTTAAAAGAAGTACACAGGAATGCCAGTGTCTCTGCTGTCCACATTGGGCCACGATGGGCTGGGACTAAGTAGCATGATGGTATCTCAAGCTGTGGAGGACCACGGCGCTGGCTCCCCCTGAAAGAAGACAGTTTGCTTCCACGGAGGCTCAGCTCTGCCCTACTTCCGCGTGTACCGCAGTGTATACAGCTGGGACGAAGGCACTCTACCTCGTCGATTGGCTTTAAGCAATGCCCATGGGCCTGGAAGGCGCGGATGTGTGGCCTTTGAAGCAAAGCAACAGCTCTGTGTGCAGCCCTGCCTGGAGCTCCCCACTACTAAGCTTCAGCTAGGTCGAGCAACGCCAAGCTTGCAGCTGGGTTTGGGTGCTGAGAAGGAGCCAGGGAGGTTCTGGGGCGACAAAGGCCAGCGTCGGAGCTGAAGCAGGCACCAACAACACAAGACACCTCCTCAAACTGTGTCTGGCAGATTCCTGCAACTCAGAGGCCACCTGTGACCCACTCCAGTATACTTTGTGCACCCCGCTCTCTGCACACTGCAGAGGGCTATGGTGCTCCCACCTATCCCAGCACCCAGCACTCGGGTCCTACTGACCGGTCTCATAGTCACTCAACCCCGAGCCACTCCTCTCTTCACAAATTAATAAAACCCTGTTGGCCCTGGGTTGCAGCTTTTGCTCTGGTCAGCCTTTGTTTTGACTTGACTTAGGACCCCCTGGGCTCCCCACAACACAGATGTGTGTTTGTCTCCTTATTCTTGCTGTGGTCCTCTGAGTGGAAGTAGTAGATTGGAATTACTTGCGAGAATTCCAGTAACTTTTCCCTGAGATTACAACATATAAACTCCTCCGGATCACAAGGTCCAGATGGGCCCCTATATCACACCAGCCAGATCCATCCTTCCCAAGACACGGGCTAATTCCCAGCCACCAGGGACACTGCACTCACCATCCAGCTTTCCCCATGACCAACACTCCAGTGTGGACGAGGACTCTGTCCCGGGAGAGCAGGCCCCTTCATTTGTAGGCCTGGCTTCTGGTGAGGATCTCTTCTGGCCAGGGATGAGGCGAGTGAGACCCAGGAGAAGCTTCCTGCAGGTCTCTGACCCCTCCGACACGGTTGGAAGAGGGTCCCCCTTCTCCCTCCGCAAGTCCTGCTACCTGACTGTGACCCTACCAGTGACAGTGTAAGTATCACAATGGGATGAGTTTGAAGCGAGCTGGCTCAGGGGAGGGCTGGCAGCAGAAAAGGGGTGTCCCAGCAAAAGTCTCAGGAACAAGCCATGGTCAGTGTCCCACGGGGGTCAGGATGAGGTGTGGGACCATCAGGGACAGAAAGGCCCTGGGAGGAAAGAGACCGACACGGGGCGACACTCAGAGGACCGGCTTTTGTCTTCTTAGTTTCTTCATGCACGAATCTCTTCTCTACCAGCTTTTCTAATTTCCCACCTTCTGAAGGTCATCTGTGCCTGCTGCTTTGAAGGACATGCGTTTTCTTAGTTTAACAGTTTACGCACTGGATGTGTGAATTGCAGTGGACGTGCAAAAACAGTGGTGTCTCCTGGAGTTTTCAGTATAATGTGACACAGGTGCAAGGGACAGAGTGAGATTGGGGTCTGAGACCCTAGTCAGAGAAATCCCACCGTGTCACTTAGGGTGGAGAGGTATCTGCCTCAGTGTCCCCAGGGTGCCAAGAGCTGTGGCAGGGGTTGTCTACCCACATGGGAATTGCAGGGGACCCCCCCCCCCGACCCTTGAAGATCCCCAGGGTGGGTTCTCTCTGGGAGCAGAGTGTCTCTTGTACAGGAGGAGATGCGAGTTTGCAGGTGCATAGCAATGGCTCCACTGGGCTGGCACACAGCCAGACACACGTCTACCTGGGACAGCAGTTGGGGCTCACATTCACCCCGACACTTGGTACCAACCTCCCATGGGCTGGCTCAGTGGAGGACCCAGATTCTGGCATTGTGGGAAAGAACAAGACAGAAGCCCCAGGATTTGTCCTCCCTAACTGTGCTAAAGCCCAAGTCCAGAGCCAGCTGGACTCAGGCTGGTGGGGCCAGCGCCCTGGTCCCCGTGCAGTGAGCAGGAGCAACATGGGCAGTCTTGATGGGAGGGTGCAGGCGAGCTCCAAACCTCAGTGTGAAATTTGGGGGCACCAGTAGTGGGAGATAGGTGGGGGGCAAAAAGAGGCCAACCTATATCCTCAGCCCCCCTCAAATTTTCCATCCTCCCGTCTCAGCCTCCCAGAGTGCTGGGATTCTTGGCATGTGATGCGTGCCTGGCCTGCCTGATGGCTAACTAACCCTTTCCAATCGGTGTATTTGGATGAGGGGGACATTCAGATGCCCTAATGTACTCAAAGCATCTGTGGGGATGGAGGGACCAAGCAGGTTGCTTTGCCTGGAGAAAGTGAGTGAGTCACCCAACAGTTATCTCTTCCACCCAGAAGCCAGGACACTACTGCATGTTTCCCAAGGAACAGAGAAAGGTGCGATGGCTCAGGAGCAGAAGGGCTCAAATCCCCAGCAGGGTGCCCTCCAAGCTGCCACGGGCGGTGCCACCACTGTGCCCCTGGAATGCACAGTCCAGGGAGCGGCTTGGTTTCTGAAGAAGCCAGGGCAGCCTGTGTGCAGGGATGCCTTTGGAATAAACATGGCTGAGTGTGTGAAGCTCCTACCCAGCCAGGGTGGAGATTCTCCCCAGGGTCCCCAAGAAGGTCCAAAGGAAAGATAAGCCAAGGGACTGTGAGGACAGCACCCCCTTACACAGGGAGCCCAAGGAAGAGAGGCCAAACAGCGCTGCAATTCTGCCTTCTGTCAGACTCTCACCAGGCTATTTCTCCTTCTACTTCCTCAGTTTGCCCAAATGCCTGCCTGTAAAGTTTTGAGGCAGCTCGGCCGGGTGACTGGCACAACCCACAGGTGTCCTGCAGGTGCCTCTGTGACTGTCTCCATCCAAAGGGCCCTGTGCCAGCTGAAGCCTCACCTGGACAGCTGCCATCCTGGTGGCATCCTGAGCCCTGGGACTCTGCCTGCATCGGGGTGGGGCACATGCCCTGGGACCGGGGCTCACTGCATTGAGCATGGAGGAAGGAAGACCAGGAAGGAGGCACAGAGCCCACAGACAGCGACAGGAAGTGGGGGGAGGCAGCCCCCTCCCCCAGATGTGACCAGAGAGGCTCACAGTCAACACACAGCGGTGGGGATGAGCAGCACCTACGTTTAGGTCTCATCTCGGAGGCCTCGGAACCAGCACTTTCCCTTGGAGGGCTGAGGGGCTCCGCCTCCTCTGGGTTGGGAGGAGGGTAAGGCGGGGGTGGGGGCAGCACTAACTGGGGTGGGCCCCGAGCAGTGCCTCTGGGGGGCTTCTGCGGCACCTGCCGTCCAACACCTATGTGGAATCAGGGGAGCAACTTCAGGTTAGGCTGCAGATTCCCTGACCTCCAATGGAAGGTTTCCTCCATCTCACCATGCACTACATCCAACCACAGCCAAGGCCAAATCCAACCACACCCAACACCAAACCCAGCCACACCCAACACTAAACACAGCCACACTCCATGGCCAATACAACCACACCCAACACCACATCCAGCCACACTTAACACCAAAACCAACCACACCCAATACCACATCCAGCCACACTTAACACCAAACTCAATTTTACTCTGCACCAAATTCAAGTACATAACATAGCACCAAGTCCAACCCACTCTGCATCAAACCCGGTTGTACCAACACCTACACCAAATATGGGTTTATACACCACCAAATCCAAACTCACCCACATCACATCCAACCATACTCAGGGTCTGACTTTTTATGCATGTAGAATTCTGTTATCTGGCCAGTTTGGAAATCTGCCTGGTTGCAATCTCTCTGGCAAGCATAGTACATAAAGGCTGGGGCTAAAAATGTCTGAAGAGCCCTCTAAATAGCCCTGCTGAGTTAAAATGAACCTCTGTTCTGCACACCAGTCTTTCTCTGGCTCACAGATCTGTGCCACACTCATGGATAGAAGAGTCGAGGTCCGGAACATCTGTGAGCACCCAATGTGCTGGCTTGGGCATGGGATCCAGGTGTGCACTCCAGACACACTTGGCTTTCGTACACACCCCACCTAGATGCTGGGGGTCACTTACGTACTGGGCTTAATAGCTCTGTGCATAAAACCAAGTTTCAGGGTGTGGGTTTCCTGCTGGCAGCATCATCATGGTGCTCAGTGGGTTTCAGACCTAGAGCATTTCAGATTTCAGACTTTCAGGTGACCGAAGCTTAGCCTGGGATGTTTTGCAAATGTCAGCTGCCTTTCACAACAGCTTCCAAGGATGTCACCCTGGGGATTTATCTTTCTCCCATCTGAGAGACATACATCACAGGGTCACACACATCCATCCTCCACCTGTCACCTTGTCTCTGCCTTCCCACCACATGCGCCATCCACCTGCCTCAATACCCACAGATACCTATGGAAATGAACTCGAAGCTCCCTGCTCCTGGAGGTCTTTGCTCAGCACAGCTGTCTCTGCAAGTGTTAGTGGCAGTGCTAACATTCCATGCAGCAGAGGCATGCGACAGCAAGCCTGGTCACTCACCCATGGTGCTCTTCCGGTTCTCCTCCTTGTCCTCTCTGCGGTTGGGGACCAGAGGACTTGGTGGTGGTGGTTGTGGTGGGGGAGGTGCTGGTGCCCGTCGCTTCTTCTTCTGCAAGTCTACCTGGGAGCCCAGAGACACCTAGGAAATGCAGAGAGGAAGATAGAGGGTCAGGAGCCTCTGTCAGGGTGAGATGTGTTCGTGGGGCACAGCACCTTCAGGAGTGGGGACCACAGGGCGCAGGTCCTGTGAGGTGGGCTGTCAGGTGCAGGTCCCCATTCTGGGCCTTTGGAGACAGATGGTAGAAAGAGCAATGTGAGGCCCAGTGCATTTCCCAGGGTGGCCCCAAGCTGACATAGTAGTGTTCACAGCATGGGCCCTCATTTATTCTAAGGACACCAGGTAAATCTGGGTGCCTGGTAAACTTTCCCAGAGGATAAGAGAGAAAATGAGCACATGCCTTTAATGTGCTCATTTTAATTAGATACAAGAGGATAAGAGGGGTCACTGTGATTTGAGGTCAGAGAACAGAGTGCGAGTAGTCAGCAGCTTGTCTGACCCTGGCACAGGCTGGCTCTCCTGTCCCTGCAGCCTGCATCCCAGACTAGCTGGCCTTGACATCCGCCACAAAGCCTACGCCCTCTAGACCACAGCCCCGTGTCTCCAGGTGTGGGACCCTCGACCCCTTACAGGGCATGCATGTGCCACCTAAGGCGGAAAGTCAGTTCTGCTGGAAGACTTTTCTAGGTTATATCTGACATCCCACTAAAGACTCCTGGAGGACCTCTGGAAGATGACAGGTTACGGAGGCACAGTGCTGACTTGCTGTAGGAGGTAGGGTCTGGTTGGAAGAGGCAGTCACTGAGCAGGGCCCTGAAGGATCTGGCTTCTTCATCAATTCTGATTTCCAACCACCATGGCTTGAGCAGCTGCCCTTCTCTGCCAGACCCTCTGCTGAGCCCTTCTGCCATGGAGCCGCTGACGATGAACTGAAACTTCTATAACCTTTGAGCCCAAGTAAACCTTGACTCCTTTCACTGCAGGGGTCGGTACCATCTCTCAGGGAAGAAAAAGTGATCCACACAGACCCTAGCAGTAAAATCCTCAGCTCCTGGAGGAAGCTGCCGGCACTGGGTGGGTCTCATGGTTGAAAATGAAAATTGCTTTGTCTACAAAGACACTGGAACTTTGATGGAGACCTTGCTGAACTTACAGATTTCTTTGAGTAGCATGGAAATGTAAGAGAACATCAGTGCACGACCATTGCCCATCTTCCCATCTCAGTCTCCTCCAACTGCTCTCACCAATGTTCTGCAGTTCTCAGTGGCCAGATCTTCCCCTCCTCGAATGCACTTTCTATAAGGAGAAGACACAAAGGGACTGCACGACCTAAAATGCTTCCTCCCACCAGCAAAGGAAATAATAAAGAGGAAACCACAGCTTGGGACAGCTTAGTTCAAACCTCAGTCTGACAAAGGAATGTGAAATACAAAAGGAACTTAAAGGACTGTAAAGAAAGAAAACAACCCAACTCAACAATGGGCGCATGGCTGGAACAGATGTTCCTAAGAGAGCTGTGGAGTAATCTCCACGTGTGTCAGTGGGTGAATGGTATAAAACTGTGATAATATTTATAAATATATGAATATTACACAGCCTTAACAAATGAGGGAAGTCCATCCACCCCAAAGACAAGGGTGGAACTTGAGGCCATCATTTTTATATCACACTTTTTACACCATTCACCTTCACTGCTTGTGTGGTTTTCTCACCCACAGTCCCTGCTCTCTTCTTAAAACTCAGTGAGAAAGTGTGTTATATGCTGCTATTCACTGACTACTTCAGCTGGTCATAAGCAGGCGGAGAGCCCTCATTCTAGGACAGGACACCAGAAAAGGTGGAGGTCCTGACTGCAGGCTTCCCCGTGCTAATGAAGGAGCGAGACTCCTGTAACACTGGTTTAATTTTCAGTGTCTGAACTCTTCCCCAAAGGGCAGCTTAACTCAGGGCTTGCCTGGGACCCTGGGCTTTTCTGGTGAATCCACCCTGGCTCACAGGAGTGCTGGGTGCTCATGCCTCTGCCCAAGTTCTCCTGAGTATCCACTAGAGCTGAGGGTCATTGGCAGAGAGTGGGGACATCTCTGGTTTCCCTCTTGAGGAAAAGCAACCCGACAGGCTGAGACACAGACTGGCTTGCTCCTCACATGCAACTCAGAGCTTCGGTGAAGCCTGGGAGCCTCTGCCAAGTCGCCCACTCTCGCCGCTGGCGATTTTTCTGCCAAGTTAACCACAGCATTAAACAAACGCTCCTGCCATACCACGTGTCTTCCCGACATGGAGCCACGCCCAGGACAAGCAGAGAGGGAACCTGCTGGGGAAGAGTTTGGCAAGGGCCGAGACTTTCCAGGGCAGACAAGATCTGATCGGCAGCGGCGGCTTTCCAGAGGTTAAACAAGAATTCAAGAGGATGGGTTTGCAGACTTCAGGGAACACCAGTCACGTCTGGCAGCCAGAGGAGCCAGAAGGATTTACCCGACTGTCACGGAAGGGGCCAAGTGAGTCTCACGTGAGTATCTCAGGAGCCCCAGAGAGCATCGATGACTCCACCAACTCTGCTGCAGGATGGAAGGAAGATGACAGCCCAAAGCCACGGGGTGAATGAGTGTCAGTGACCCTCGGTGACCCCGAGATGACATCTTCCCGTCCACCCAAGCAGCGCGCTCTGCCTCAGCCTCCTCACGGAAAGCTAAGTGGATTCCCACCCAAGCAGTGTAATTCACAGAATCAGAGAGCAGACGGGGCTGAGGGTGGAGGAGGGGGTCAGCTGCGCTCTAGTCAAGTCTCCTTTGCCGAGGTGGGGAGGACCGAGAAGCTCAGGACACACAGAGACTCTCGTGGTGTGCATTACTGGATGGCCGCTGGGGCCCTGTTGGCGGGAGGACCTCACTGGAAGCACTCTTAGCGCAAAAAATTAAGACTGGTTTAAAATGCGATCCACGCTTCCAAGTTGGCCTTGCAAAAGGCTGTGTAAGCTTCGATTCTCATAAACTGCCTCTTCCCGCATTCGACAATGGTGCTGGTAAACAATCCCCACCAAAGGAAGGGAAAAGTGTTCCAAATACTTTGAAAATCTGCTTTTTTTTTAGGGCTGGGAGTGGCAGGTTTAGTGATTATTGCTTTTGTGTGTGGGTGTGTGTGTAAGGAGAGGATTGTGACATCCTTTACAAAGTGACTATTACATGTAATTGCCTCTAAACACACATAGTTTTGACACTATGACCACACAGAACATGAACCAGAGCAGCCTCAAAAAGTCCTTCAGGAGATTAGAGGACTCTGGAGCCTGGTGGCCGGGACTGCAATATTTTGTCTACTGTGCCACACTGCATAAATTGCTTAACCTGTCTGGCCCTCAACTTCCTCTTCTGTAAACCAGGGACAAAACAGTTGCACTGCTCCGGGTGGCTGTGAGGGTCCAGTAGGCACTGTGAAAAGTAGAGGCCAGGGCCCTCACAGGTGGACACGCCTCGGAGATTTCAGGTGGTCATCCCAGCCAAGAGCAGCCAGCCTGCTGGAGCCTGGATCCCTGGGGGTCGCCAGGGTCAGACTTGGCCTAACCTGAATCTCAGTTTTGGCTGCAGCAGGGAGGGGCAGGGGCCTGAGAGCTGTGACTGCTGGGTGTGATATTGGTGTCGGTGATTGTCAGGATGGAGCCACTTAGGGGGTGGCAGAGCACTCCCGGTGAGCTGGGGAGCTCTGTGGAATGGTGGGGTGGCCTCGGGCTCCATATCTGGGATTTCACCCCAAACTTTCTGCCTGCTGTTGCTGCCTTGGAGCTGGCTGGCTGACCACAGACAGAAACCGTGGACACAAGGAACCCCTCTTCCTCAAGTGTGGGGGTTCTGTCCCACGAGGAACATAGGCACTGAGTGAGACCCACGGACGTGAGGGGCTTCAGTTTCAGGGTCTCTGCAAACACTGGAGACTCCACCCACACGCTGATGCCTCCCCCAACTGAAGAGAGAGGAAAGTCCTGGTGAAAGCCATCCTTGTGTCTGGCTGGGGTGAGAGCCCAGGAAAGGGGGCCCTCAGGAGGTGCCCACCTGGAGACAAGACAGGATCGAGGAGGCCCCAGGTCTGGCTTCTTCCCGGCTCCTGCTGGGGACTAGGGTTTGAGTCAGGATTCCCTTTAATCCTTCTTTCAATCCTTCCTTCCTTCCTTCCTTCCTTCTTCTTCTAAAATGGCCTTAGCCGGAAATAAGTGACAAGGTTGGTAATCTTCTTACGGTTGAAAATCTGGGAATACACCTTTTGTCACTGTATTGTATATATGATTGCTACACGTTATTTCTATCAGTGAAACAAACCCAACATGATGTCATGAGGACTTACTCTGTACAATTTTGTGACTTTGAAAGAAGCTAAGAGAAGAAAGGAGAGCTAGGATACACTTAGAGATGGCGCCATTTTAACCCTCTTACTGATCACTGCTGGTTCTTCCCATGTGCTCCCCTAGGTCCCTGTTACCACTGATAGGTGTTTCCTTCCGGTTACAGAATTTGCCCTCTGCCTCCTCCTCTGAGCAGTTACTGGCAGATTCATTAATTTCCATGTCTTGGCTCAACCACATACAGATGCATACAGTTTTATACAATTGTTTCGTAAACCAATCAGAAGGAGGAAAATATGCATTTACACTATTACTTTAGTGCTTTACGCTTTACTACTGATCAAAAATAAATAAATTAATGAATGACTGGGAAAAGCCAGGCATAGTGATGCGTGCTATAATCCCAGGCTGAGACCGGAGAGTCTCAGATCAGCTCAGTGTGGCCAACTTCATGAGGTCCAGTCTAAGAATTTAAAAAAGGGTTTTGTGATGTATCTCAGTGTAAAGGTCCTGGGTTCAATTTCCAGTATCTCAAATAAATATGTTAATTAATTAATTAAAATTTTAAGAGGGCTGGAGATGTAACTCAGTGTGCTCTGGGTTCAACCCGCAGGGCTGTCAAAAAATAAATTCATAAAGAGGAGAAATCCTTTCTTTTCAAATGTGACCGCAGGGTGCCGACAGCCACTCTGACAGGCAGGGATAGGCACAGACAAATGCCACACCTCAGCGACTGCCCAACGATGGAAGA